CATCAACAGGAACAACCTGAGTGTGAGCAAATGATGACAGAATTTTCATGTTTGGGTGAACGATTTTTTAAATAAAGTATTAAATAATACAATAGTAACTTCACATTAAAAAAGTATTACTATTATATAGATAGATAGATAGACAGACAGACAGACAGACAGACAGACAGACAGACAGACAGATAGATAGACAGACAGACAGATAGACAGACAGATGATAGATAGACAGACAGACAGACAGATGATAGATAGACAAAGACAGATAGATGATGGATAGATAGACAGACAGACAGACAGATAGATGATAGATAGACAGACAGATAGATGATAGACAGACAGACAGATAGATGACAGACAGACAGACAGACAGATAGATAGATAGATAGATAGATAGATAGATAGATAGATAGATGTAAAATAATAAATAATATTCTTTATTTTTAGCATTTACTGCATAAAAGTAATGAGAATCAGGAAGCAATGTGCTTAATTGCAATTAAAAATAATGTCTCAGTGCAAACATATTATAATAATAATGTTAATATAAAATATCTTTTATGAAAAGGATGAATATATACATTCTTTTCATAAAATTAATTGATTTCATAGTGAAATATGAACATGACATGGCATGTTTTGAAATATGACCAGGACATGTTTCGTGTGATTTGCACAGTTAGTCTGTGCATGTGTAATCTGGATCTGGATAATTACTGCACATAATTATGGGTGTGAATGAAAACAGCATGTTGCCATCACTCACGCTCGAGAAAGTGATCTGGCTGCTCCAGCAGTAGCTCGATCATGTCAGACTCCAGCAGATCTGCTCCTTCAAACTGAGGAATGAGAGAAACAGCATTCAGGATACACGCAGCTGGATTTTATACAGCGATTATGTACATATGGTGATAATACTGAGTGACAGCTGTACCTCTGGCTCAGGCATGATGACTGGCTCTCTTTCTGTCAGGGTGATGGACTCCTGGCTGGCCGTGATGCCTAGAGGGGAAATAAGGAGCTTTAGAAATACACAAAATACATTTCTTTGACTGTGCAAATTCCCATAGCATCATTTGAAAGATTACTGATATTTGTAAATGGGTTCTGCTACGGCAATGGATCACATTACCGTACTCACCATCTGAAGGTGGTGTTGGTTCTCTAGTGGGCGGGACTTGCTCAGGTAAGACCTCTTCCATTCGCTGAGCCACAGTGAGAGAGGTTAGACTACACATGACCGATAAAACCCATCCTTAACTCAGAAAATTCAGTGATTAATTAATAACACCTAGAAATTACACTACCTGCTTGAAAGTTTGGGGTCGGTAAGATTTTTTAATGTCTCTAATACTCACAAAGGCTGCATTTTTTATTTGATCAAAAAATACAGTAAATAGTAATACTCTTTGAATATATTTTAAAATGTAATTTATTCCTGTGATGCAAAGCTGAATTTTCAGCAACGTTACTCCAGTCTTCAGTGTCAAATGAACCTTCAGAAATCATTCTAATATACTGATGTCTGCCCGAGAAACATTTATTATTATTATTATGATCAATGCTGAAAACAGTTGTGATGCTTAATATTTTGGTGGAAAGCATGATACAATTTTGTTTCTTGATAAATAGAAAGTTTTGAAATTCGTCTTTGAGCTGCATCCACCTGAATGAGGCTGCTTGGACTTGGCAGGCCATAAGCAGTCTCCATAACGCCAAAGAATGGATCCCTCGCTCCCTCTGTTTCATCAAATAGTGCAGCAGCATCTGGGATCATGTGACTCTGCCTGAGAAGAAGAAGAAGGAGGAAGTTGAGGAACTGTAAATGTGAAACATCTTATATGTTTCAAGCTCTGCATCTTTTTTCATTTTTATTTTATTTTATTTTATTTTATTTTATTTTATTTTATTTTATTTTATTTTATTTTATTTTATTTTATTATTTTATTTTATTTAATTTTATTTTATTTTATTACCTTTGTCCTGTTGCTCTAACCTAATATTCTGGATTTAAAATTTTTGTTTGCTTTTAACCTTAACTTGAAAAAAAGGTCTGTAATTGTTACTTGGAAGACTTTTTTTTTTTTTTTCATTTTACTCGTAGCCATTCACATTTTAAGAGGCCAACAAACTTGTGATATACTATACTTAAAGTCAGCATTATATGACAATAGAACCTATTTTTTTTGTCTTAATACAGGTTCCTTGTCATATTTTGCATTTCATTTAAAAAAAAAAAAAGTCGTAACCTTTTTTGAAAAACAGAAAAACTGGCCATACCGATTCATCTGTAAATGTGTCAAAATGGGTTACAAATGCTGTTTTGGCAATGTTGCTTGTGCAAATCTAAAAATAGCATGAATTATTTTTGTAATTGTCATTTGTATCTGTAACATTCTGTGCAGGGACTGCAGATGGCATATTCTGTCATATTTACAGTAATGTTTAATTATGTGCACTGTCCCTGCTAAATAAAAGTAACTAATGCAAAATAACTAATAAAAGAAAAAAATCTTAAAATCATTTATCAGACATTGTTGTCATGAAGAGAAGAAAACATAAACAGATGCTGTATGTATGCTCATAATAAAAAATATCTAAGAAATAAAACGCCTGACCTGGTTTCTTCATCCCTCATATCAATGTTGGACTTCGCGTTGAGGCGGAGCAATCTATCTATTGCCCCCTGAGTGTCCTCTGAGAAAACATCATTAACAAACTATTACAGAAACACAATCAATGGACGCATCAAAATCTCTAAATTCCACCAATTTCATGATCCTTATCAGCTCCAAGACTACACTTTGTCATCTTAAATGAGCAAAGATGCAGTCGAAACAGCAAAACCCTTCTTTTGTTACATGCCGTCTTCCAGCTAAATCAATCTTTAGCAAATCAAGCCTAAAGAATATATTATGGGCATTTCATTCATTTCCTTATAAAAGTATACATGTGAATATTTTTGACCAACCCACAAATGATCATCTACCCTCAAGTTTTAGCACACCAACCTAACAAAAAGTCACACTGTCTGTGGTAGACAAGCACCACTCCATACTGCAGTTGAGAGGACAGGTACAGGGAGAAACGTGGGCGGGGCAATCCCGATACAGGGGGCGGGACTCTGATCAACACGTAATCCATGATGTCACAGCTGTGAAGCACATTGAGAACAGAAATTAATAACAAAAAATGTATTTCTTTTTTGAAGAGATATATTTAATTAAATCACTAAGAGTAATTAATAACAAAAAATTTATTTATTTTTTGAAGAGATATGAGGAGATCTTTCATGTACCGTGATTAATACTTGTTTTGGTGTTTTTTTTTTATCCTCTTTTCTTTATTTGTTCTGTTCCTGCCTTTCTTTATGTTCATAAAAAAGCTATTTAAAATGCATCTTTCTCTTTTAACAGTCATTGTCAACTTTTTTCCCCCTTCTCTTCTCTTCCTTATGTTCAGATGACATTGAATTGTTTGCAATTAAAAAAAAAACAAAAAAAACCTCTTGAACTTTAAACCGCATAAACACATTTCATTACACCAAATACACAAAATAATGTTATTTTTAGCAGCATCATATGACCCCTTTAATGTGTTGTTTCCTCACAAATACTGCATTCCCAATTAGACAGAACAAGTTCATTTTAAGATCATGTGCAAAAATCTATCCTGTGAATGGTATTGTGGCAAAATATATAGATGTTGATTTGATTTAATTTTAGATTTGATGTAATTGTATTCCTGTACAGACTCTATCTGTTCTATATTTATTGTTTGATGCATAATAATGTTTTTTTTTAACTCCATTAAAATTGATTATGTAGAAGAAAATAGTTCACAAGTCATGCATGATTTTTCATCACACAGAAAAGATACAAACCAAGTGCGCTGGACATTGACTTTGAGCAGATCTCTCCGACTGATCTTTCGTCCTTTAGTGGCCGCCAACCTGAAAAAAATGTATATTTAGTTAGATATTAATAGTTATGCCTCAGTTTTAACATTATAGCCTACTGTTTAAAATGGTCAAGTCCTAATTATGGATTTTTCATACTGTGAATATAAGCACACCTTAACAGTGCTAAAACGCAATAGAAAGAAACGAGAACTTACCAAATCGTGGCAAAGCACCCGGTCCTATGATTGAGTACCGTAGGACAGAAAAACATCGTGAGCAGTTTGATAAAGACAAGATTAATTTTAGAGCAAAAGTGGGCCAAAAACTGGAATAGCGTGATCGTGAAACAAATGAAGTCTCTCAGGTGAACTCCAAAGAGTTTTTACAGGAAAAGGGACTGCATGGTACTTCAAAGGTTGCTGTGGGGAAATTTGTTTTGAAAGCTCTACCAATCAGCTTTGCTTTGCAAATAAGACAAACCAATCTAATTGAGACAACAGTCTAGAACGCATTTTATTGGACTGTCTTGTTTCCATAATAATTCCTGTTTTGTAATACACTTTTCAACATAATGAATATTGAGAAGTAATTCAGGATTTACATAGCATTCTAGTCATAAACAGAATCATTAATGCCGAGTATCATTCATATTATCGATTAAAAAAAAAGCAAAACCGAGAAAATATCACTGATCTATGTATAATGATAATAATTCTCTATTATAGATCAGAGGAAAATATACATGTATAATATAATATCTAATCGCCAACAGGTGGCGTATAGGTTGAACGTTCTGAATACGATATGAAAACAAGTTCGGTTCCTCTTTGTTTTTCTACTAGGTTATGAATATTAATTAAGTAAATAAATTACGTTTGCACAGTACCCTCAACTGATTTGCTGATTGGCTGACGCTGGCAAGTGGGCGTTGTACTGCGGCTGACGGATAACCCAAATCATACTACGCCGAAGGCTTATGTCATGAATATTAACTAGACTAAAGAACTCACGCAGAAGGTCACTTGCCAGGACCTTATTAATATTCATGAGGGAAGCTTTCGCCATAGTAGGTTTCGGGAAAATACGCGAGGGGAATCGTTTGACTCGTGTACTTCCGGACTGAACCAACCGGAAACCGCCTGCTCACAACTTTTGTCTTCGCTGTTGCACATCGATTAGAAATATCAGACATCATGTCGGGCTCATCAAACATTGTTGCGATGAAGAAAATCGTTCAGCAGTTGCGCTTCGAAGCAAACATCAACAGAGTAAAGGTTTGTTTTGTTAGTGGTTTAATTTCTGAGGAAACTGAAGCTAGGGAGTTAGCCGCCGGGTTGAGCTTGGGCGTGGACCTGTGTAGCCCGTTAGCTTTGTTTCAGAGCCTTCTTCTCAGTTGTGTTATTAAAATAATTTTATATTGTAGTGAAGTAGTACTAATATCAATTAAACAAACTGAGCATTATACAGACTCTGGAAAAGAAATGTGATCTATGCCTAGCTAGCTAGAATGGGTAACGTTAGTTTGCTAAGTAGACCCTCCCTTATTGATATATAAGAAACGTAGGCAATAAATACAAAATACTCTGATATTACAACCATTTTCCAATGTATTTGTGTGACTGTTAGTATGATTATGTATTTAGCATTTCAACTGATTGTGTATACAACCCACTTAATATTTCCATTTCCAAGACAATTGTGAGATGTTGTGATTTTTTTATATTTTTTTGTGGATATGTAGGTTTCTCAGGCGGCTGCAGAGCTTCAACAGTTCTGCATTCAGAACGCCCTACAAGATCCTATGCTGACCGGTGTGTCTTCAAGCACCAACCCCTTCAGGACACAGAAGGTTTGCTCCTTCTTGTGAGGGTCCATGATGGGCATCTGCCATTTGGTGAGAATGAGTTTATAATTTGGTTAAAAACTAAACAATATAAAACTGAAACTAACAATTGATATTTGTCTTCCCAGGCTTTTTCATGTTCCTGTGACATTTCTGCTGGGGGAAAAAAAAAAGAAGAAAACCACTGCCATGATGTGTAATTGAAGAAGCAGCAGCACGAAGCTGTCCTCTTGCCAGTTAATACCTCATGCCATAAACACAAAAAACAAGAACTGAAAGGATTTGCCGCTCTGGCTGCTTTATGTCTGTTATGGTGCATTTTCATTTTAGAAGAAATATTTTGTTTAATGTCTCCGCTTGACTCTCGTTCTCACAGCCCTCAGATTTCTGTTTGAAAGACCTCAAACTAAAAAGTCTGCCTTAATGAGTGATAAACAACGCTCCAGTTTTGTGGAGGGGAAGGCTTTTGTATTTTTGTGTGGCACAGCAGAGGAAACTTAGTAATTTATTGTGCCTTTTTAACATTGTAGTCTGTTTCTCTATCTTCACTGCCTTAGACTTTTTATAACCCAAAATAAACCCATTGATTTCTACATGTCTCTGTTGTTTTTATACTTACTGTAAAGAATTGCTGAGTATATATTAAGAACTTTATAAGCAGAACAGGAGCTACGGTTTTATCACAGTGACAATGAAATTCGACTGTGGATGTAATTTTCACTAATAGACCACTATATCAAACAAAATATATGATATATTTCTTTAGGCTTCATTGAGTATTTATTCATAATTTACATAGATGTATGTCATAAAATGGTTATCGTCAGTTTGTTGCAAGCAGTGTGACATGCTTTACGCCACATTATAAAACGGATAGTTCCAGTGCTTGATTCTGATTGGTTGAGCCGCGTTCGACGCTGTTGTAAATTACACTACAAACATACACCTTTGTTTACTTCTGTGTGTTGCGCCGCAACTACTTTGTTGGAACCACAATGGTTTCTGAGGAACTACATTGTTTGGTGGAAGAATGCTGTTTTTATTTATATCATTACACTTTATTTGCTGTTTTATTCTGTGAAACCTTACTACGTATATGGAATAACCATGTATATATATATATATATGGAATAACCACATTTAAAATAATGCAATAAGCTCCAAGAAGCCGTGGTTTACAGTGAATGTATGACATCTTATAAAGCTTATTGCTTCATTTTAAATGTATTTTTGTAGTTGAACAATTACAAATGCAGTTTTTGTTACATTATTTGGGGTTTACATGGAATATTTGTTTTTAAAAATTAACTTTTAAAAGATAATTTGTTGCACTGCATATGAAGTTCAAAAATCTAAATAGATTTAAAAATATCAAAAAGTTCTTAAATATTTTAAATAGCCTCATATCGTACGCACAGTTGCAGCAACGTCATTGCTTCTAAATATTTTCATGGAACCTAATTGGCCTAAAAGAATAGAAATCAGGTGTATGTGGTTTGGGTGAGTGATTAGGCAGTTCATGCTAGAATAAGAAGCGTTTTTCATTATTCCGTGTTAAAACGGCGACCTACGGGTTTTTGTATGTGCATGCTCGATAAGCTGGTTTTATTTTGATATATATTATAATTAATTAGCTGGCGAGATGTGGCTGAGTAGCACGTTAACATGGTGTATCGTTGTCTTTCTTATGACGCCCCTCTTCACTGAATGTTATCCTCGCATGTCTCCTCGTACATTCCAGCAAGGAGGGCCTTTGGCAAGCCAGCAGCTGTTGAGCAGTCAATATCAGGCCGCGATTCCGCAAAGTCCGCCTAAAATAAACGACCCCGTTCCACAACGGCGTCAGAAAACCGTGTCCGTGTACTGCCATGAAGATGCGATAGAGGTTGTGATTAACGGAGACCTGTTTGCGTCGGGCTTTCCAGTCTATGCTGAGGAGCTGTGGCTGGGTTCCCCATCACTGCTAGACAAAGTGTCTGCAGCATCATGTGGAGCCCTGCAAACCGGACCATCACAGTTGACCATATTTGCTTATTTCAAAGATTGTGGAACCAAACTACATGTAAGTTCACAAACCATCGGAAGATGTTTTACAGATGGGTATTCTGCTGAAAAATGCCCAGTCTTAACTGGCCACAAACCTGCTTTCTGGTGGTCTTCTATGAGTTTTGCTTCTTGTCACTTAGTCTGACTAGTAGGCGACCAGGGGCCGGTTGCATAAACGGTGTAGACTAGTCTTAAAAAGTTAGTCAACTAATTGTTTTTCTTCAAGACTGGTCATAGCTTTTTAAATTCAGTTATGAAAAGGTAGATTGGTCTTATTTGTATTGGAAAAGTAAGACTGATCACCCTTTGGCAACTGCTAGTTGGTCAAACAAATTAAGACACCGTCTTAAGATGGTGGCTAAGTTTATGCAACTGGCCCCAGCTTGGCAGGCCTCAAAGAACAGGGAACCGCTGTTAGGTGATACTTGTGAACTATTGGTAAATCGTTCACAAATGCATGTGGTGTTTAATTTGTCTTAGGTAACTGGAGACTCTCTAGTATATTCAAATGTCATTGTGTACTCCCCTCTACCATCCCCTGATGGTGTACTTCGCCAGGAAGGTGCAGTCATGCCTGTTCAGTGCCAATACCGGAGGTACACTGACAAACCTCAGATTTCTTAATTTTAGATTTATTTTAGCTTTGTTAACTTTGTTTTACGTACTCTTAAGGCGGTACGGTGTTGACAGTGTGGCAGTGGCACCCACTTGGATCCCATTTGTTTCCACTGTTTCTGCCACAGATTATCTGGACTTTAGCCTCCGACTGATGAATGGTATAGTATTTTAAATTCACCACATTCTGCTTCAGAATTATTTAACGGATTCTTTTTTTTATTATTTTTAAGATGATTGGCAGTATGAGAGGGGCTCGAACGTCTATTTCCTTGGGGATGCGATACACCTTCAAGCATCGGTTACCTTGGCCAATCACTTCCCCCTCCTCCTGTTTATTGACTGGTGTGTGGCTACACCAACATATGGCGTGGTTCCTAGTGACATCAAATATTCTTTTGTGGATTATCATGGGTGAGTTTTGTAATTTTGTCAGATTTGAATTGATTACCGCATCTATTAGATTTAAACTCTGGTCCTGAAATGACCAATTTGGTGCTAAATGACACTGGTCGTGTAGTAAACTAAGTGTATGCAAAGGGATGTAGAAAATGTTATGCAAGAACTGTTTACTTGTCTTGGCACTGAGAAACACTCCACCGGTTTGTTTGTACACTTGAGTTTAGCATTTTGAACTTCTGGAAAGGAAGCTGTAATCATGTAGACTGCTTTCAGATGTCTTGCAGACAGTAGGAGTTCGTACTCCCGCTCCAAGTTCTTGCCGAGGAGCCAAGGCAACAAATTAAACCTGCAACTGGATGCCTTCAGATTCTACAAATTGTCCAGCAACCTGGTGAGCAGAAATTAAGATTAATGCATCAAAACAATTGGAACCTTCTTTAAAATCCCATCATTGTGTTGTATAGTCCTATAGGTTTGGAACAACATGAGGAGTAAATGACAACTTTTGGTTGAAGACTATTTGTCTGCGTAATCTAATTCTGCAATACCTCCTGGTTTTATTTGAAACAGGTGTTCATCACATGTTACCTAAAAGCGATCCCTGCTGTGTATCCTGTGAGCTCTCAGAATCGAGCATGTTCTTCTATTGATGGAAGGTAATGACTGGCTTGTATCAAGTCTTTGTATCAACCAGTTGCTCTTTATGTAAGATCCCTGTGGATGTTGCAGGTGGCAGTCTGTGGATGGAAGTGATGAGGTTTGTAACACCTGTGAGCCATCCAGACAAGCTGCGGCAGAGCCTGAACCAATCCAGCCTTTCCGCATCACGCCAGCCCCTCCTGTCAAGCAGCCTTATTTGGCCCCAAAACCAAGCTCTGCTGATTTCTATCATGTGAGACCTGGTCAGTCATTGGAACCCTTTAAAGCTCTCTTTCATTCAAGGCAATATGCCAGTGGTGTGTCGAAGAGACAAACTGACTCGAACAAAGGTTTCCACTTTTTTGTTTCATTCAACTGTTTTTATTTATTCAAGTTATGTGGCACTTAAACACCCTTCTCTTTTTATAACAGACTGGAGCAAGATTGCCACATTAGGTCCTTTGTTTCTGATCCCAAAGCAAGAAACCACCACCCAATCAACTGGGTACACGCAGTCCAGCCCAGCTGAGGTCTTATCCGTCACTGAGGAGCTGGAGCTCTTATTCAACTCGACCGAGACAAGTCCTGTGACAGATGAGCTGGAGTTTAAAACCGATCAAGAGACCGAAAGCTTCAGTCCATTAGAGAAAGCCGTGTTCCTTAATGCGTCTGATCTTTTCAGTTCAGAAGAGGGGAGTGGGTTTGAACAGTGACCCTCCGCATAAGAAAAATGAGCCCAAGAAAAAATGGAAACGGACAACGTGACCTTTTTCTGAAGTTTTAGAACATCTCATCTTAGTCCTTGCCATTACTGCAGATGCTGTGGTCACAGAAATAGTATGTTCATGCATTAAAATTCATACATCTCAATTGTTGAACTTTGTGTTTGATTTAAATAAATTGCACGTTCATGATGTATATCTATCCCAACATGTATTAATAAATGTGACCCTGGACCACAAAACCAGTCTTAAGTTGCACGGGGATATTTCTAGCAATAGCCAAAAACATGGGTCAAAATTATAGATTTTTCTTTTATGCCAAAAATCATTAGGATATTAAGTAAAGGTCATGTTCCATGAATATATTTTGTAAATGTCCTACAGTAAATATAACACGTCAGTTTTGTTTAGTAATATGCATTGCTAAGGACTTTATTTGGACAACTTTAAATGCGATTTTCTCAATTTTTTTGCACCCTCATATTCCAGATTTTCAAGTCGCATCTCAACCAAATATAGTCATATCCTAACAAACCAAGCATCAATGGAAAATCTTATTTCTTCAGCTTTCAGATGATGTATAAATCTCAATTCGAAAAATTTACGATTTTTTTTTGTGGTCCAGGGTCATATATTCATGAATTATAGTTTAAAGTAACATTTGGCACCTTTTATGGTACCTTTTATCGATTTCTCATTTAGTTCACATGATTATTTACATAACCTTTTAAAAGTCTGGTTATCAAGTATGTGTTTCACAACAAATGTAAGTAAAAATTGTACATTAAATAAAAATGTACAAGTACTTTACATTACAGCATATTTTAATACATTTAATTAATTCAAGGTAATATTTAGACCCTTTTATGGCTCCTTATAACTTAACTTCCCATTCAGTTCACATGATTCTGAACAACTAGTATGAGCTAATGTGCTTACATAATTTTTTGTAAGTGTGGTTAGCAGGTTTTGCTGTTTGTATGGGCATTTATTTTATTACAGACATTTAAGATTTTTATCTTTCTAAACAGTCTTGGTTACTATATTAACGAATTTAAGAATAGTTCATTTATAACCCAAGTATAACGTTCGGTATCTTTCAGTAGCCTGCTTCATTTTTCATTCAGTTCACATGTTATGAACTATCCAAATTTAGTAGCATTGTGTACATAACCTTCCATAAAAAGTGGTTAATAAGTTACCATGTGGACTATTTCTTCATTGACATACCCGATTTTGATCTTATATACTTCACAGTCTCTTTGATGTTATTGTCCTCAGGTGTCATTTTCACCAGGTGTGCCATTCGTCTGAAGCCGTCCACCAGACCCGCTCCAGTCAGCGCCGAACACGGCTGAATGAACCAGTCTCGATCACCGCAACTCTTTATCAGGTTAAACTGCTCTGTGATCTCAGTTACCGTTGCAGCTCCTACAATATCTTGCTTGTTGGCAAGAACCACCACTGGGAGTCCCTTGAGGAGGTCACTCTTTAAGGTCTGTTCCAGTACGCTCTTGGCCATGTCCAGATGCTTAATATCAGAAGAGTCCACGACGAACACAATTCCAGCTGTGTCCTGGTAAAAATTCCTCCAGTGCGCTCGCATCTTAACCTGCCCTCCAACGTCCCACACGGTCAGGGTGATTTTGTCCTTGTTCTTCTTCGCTTCGATCATTTCTACATTGAATCCAATAGTAGGAACCGTGTGGAAGTCCTCATTGTACTTCAGTTTGTAAAGAAGTGTTGATTTTCCAGCTCCGTCGAGCCCTAAGAGGAGGATGCGGGCTTCAGGTTTGTGTCTGGATCCTGAATGGCCCATTGTATATGTCAGATGTTCACAAAGACCAAAGCTTCTCACTGTGTTCGCTCAACAAATGTGAGTTTACTTAAGATGGTGTCTGCGTTACTCAGTGATGTATTATATCTAGCTTATCTACATAGTGCTGTATGATTAATGGGTCAAAGTATCTCAGGACACCTCCCAAATGATATGCTAAGAATGCCTGGAACGGAGTTCTGCTTAATTTATCTCTTGTGTCTTAAATAATGTACACATTTAAACAAAATATTCCATGATCAAACTAAATTAAAATCTCTTTCATGGATTCTCATGTCACAAATGGCTGAAGATCCTAAAGAAACTAAAGAGTGTCATTTGACATACATGAAGTAGGAACTTGAAAATCGAACCCTTGTAAAATAAATAAATATATAGATAAATAGATATGAAATAAATAATTATAAGTTCTCGGTTAAGACGGTTGCCCTGAGACATGTGAGTTTAAAGAAATTAATCATAGGTTTCCCATTACATTTATCAACTGACCACATGACGTGTGACCATGACCAGGCAGTATGGCATCATAAATGACAATAAATGTCTTGGAAAAACTCTTCAAATAAATCTGTTTCCATTTCAGTTAATGGAAACCAAACGAAAAAGTTGAATGTGCCCCTCAGACATCCAAGAATCCCATCTCAATCCTTCCAGATACTTTCAGCACTGGATTGTTGACATTGTCGTCACCTTTAGAAACCTCAGGATGGATTTCAGTGTAAAAAACAAGAACAACAACGACCCCAACTAACTTCACATCCACAGGTTCACCTTTGTCTTCCGAGGGTTTCGTCTATCCACACCCCACCAGTTGGATCAGCCACAAAAACCAGTCCAGAGCAGTCGTCGTGAGTCCCGCAGCCACGGCGCCGTCTCTCCGCTGCCGCTTCATTCTGATGAGAGGCGTCCGGTCGCCATTTCCCTTGTGAAATGCCGGGAGTGCGTTTTTCACACAACTTTATAGTTGTAAGAGACGTGAACTCGTGAAACTGCTCGGATGTCCTTGAACTACACTGACCCATTTTTGTGCGTGGAAAAATCCTTGAAATGTAGGCCGCTGGGTGTCTTGTAAACTCCGTGCCAACACTAAGCGCAAACGTACATTTATACGTTACGACCACTGAACTACTGGGCGTCAGATCCAGGAAGAGTGTGTAAGGGCAGATTTATAGAAAGCTTACTCAGTGGCAACAGGCACGATAGGGGCTTTAATAGTCTACTGGACTCAACAATGCTGGTGCTATTCTGGGGCCTTACACCTGGCCCCGGTTGTCACGATGGACTGCTGAGCTCGGTGTGTTACACGGACACGGCGCTGCAGTGTAAGGTTACTGCGGCTGGACCTGTCAGTCAGTCTGGAAGAATGCAAACAGCAAAGCGTCATATGCTTATTCTATTTGCTTATTATTTGCCTTACAATCTGTGTGCTGCTCACACACACGAGATAAAACCAACAAACCAGCTTAGGCTTTCACCAGGCCTGACCAGCTTTGTATCTAGTGGAAAAATTGCTGTTTCATTTGATCTGCAACAGGTATATTTTTGTTACCATCTAGGATACCATATACTGATATTGATATAATAAAATTATACAGATACTAATATATGTTTTCAAATGTACCTATAAACCTATATAAACCCGCGTTTAAAATACTTGGCATTTATTTCAATGGATATATAGGATAAATACAACAGATAATAATATTTAAAGTAATTGAGCATTTTCCCCTCAAATGACAATTATATATAGTAAATATATGTACTATACACCTTATAGTATTATAGATTTGGAAGGATTTTTAAAATGTTTTTGAAAGAAATCTCTTACCACGGCTGCATTTGTTTGATCAAAAATACAGTAAACAGTAATATTGTGAAATATTATTATACAAATTAAAATAACTTCTCTTTTTTATGTTTTTTTTTTTTAATATAAATGATTTCTGATGTAAAGCTGAATGTTCAGCATTATTACTCCAGTCTTCAGTCACATGATGCTTCAGAAATCATTCAATGCTGATTTGATCTGCTGTCACTTTTGATCAATTTAATGTGTTCCTGCCAAATATTAATTTCTTTAAAAAATCATACTGAGCATATGAAACTTTTATCAGAGAGAGAGAGCAAAGACGAGCAATATCAGCTTTGATTTGTTAGGTTTATTTATCGCTTCATTCTCCCACATACATTTCACAAAGTGCAAGAAATTAAACCTTTTTGTAGATTGGGGCTGGTGCCAATTTTTTCAGTAAACTAGGAGGAAAGTTGGAGGACAGCTTGCCAGTATTACTTCAACAGTCTTCAATCTGTATTCACATAACCATTAAAACACTGACATGAATGGGACATAGACCTATTATGAAATGTAATCAAAGTGTAACATTCTTAATCTAACACAACATTATTCCACCCTCATTTAAACTAACTGATGAGCAGCACCAGTGTAAATTGGCATTAATGCCCTGAACTGATATGAATGGATCATGCACATCCAAATTCAAGAGCTGGATATGGTTTCATCAGCTCCTTAATTCACAAAAACAAGAAAAAGAAACAAACACAAAGTTATGATATTTATGCATGTCTCCTGAACAAAACACTGTCCAATTTATGCCAATTGCTGTTTCACAAATAATATTGCTCTGATTAAGGAAGGCCAGGATACATCATCTTTGAAGAGTAATGAATTGAAAAAGGAGTAATTACAGAATAAAATTTCTATAAAGTGCCCATTTGGCACACACCAAAAAAACTAAAACAAATCTGGGAATGCACATGTTTGCACATGCATATGCGTTTATGTACAGTTTATTGTAATTGTGAGAAAATAAAAAGTTTGCCTGTTTTATTACACCGTCTAGCCTCTGGCAATATGCATTAATGGAAAGACATTGGAGGCTGTTTATCGGTCGAGTCCAACTACTCTCCAATTTATGCCAATTGCTGTTTCACAAATAATATTGCTCTGATTAAGGAAGGCCAGGATACATCATCTTTGAAGAGTAATGAATTGAAAAAGGAGTAATTACAGAATAAAATTTCTATAAAGTGCCCATTTGGCACACACCAAAAAAACAAAAACAAATCTGGGAATGCACGTTTGCACATGCGTTTATGTACAGTTTATTGTAATTGTGAGAAAATAAAAAGTTTGCCTGTTTTATTACACCGTCTAGCCTCTGGCAATATGCATTAATGGAAAGACATTGGAGGCTGTTTATCGGTCGAGTCCAACTACTCTCCAGTTTTGCTCCCAGAGCTGCTCTTGAACTTCACCACCATGACAGTGATGTTGTCGGGACAGCCGCGGTAGAAAGACTGCAGCACAATGCTCTTGGCGCCGAAGTGCGGCTCATCCAAGCGTTCCCGCACAAAGCGCACGGCCTCCTCGTTGCTGAACGCGTCCCACAGGCCGTCGGAGGCTAGGATCATGAACTCCGGCTGGAGCTTGTCCAGGTCAAAGGTCAAGATATCTGGGTCTGGGATGACCACATTCAAGTTCTTGAGAGGGTAGTCACCGAGTGAGCGTGACATGGCCAGGATGCCCTGCACACGCCAAGAGCCGTTGAAACTGATGAAGCCACCTGATGGATGAGATCACACAGATGTGTTACATTCACACAGTGCAGTCACACACTGGAACTGCCAGAAACTCATCACAAGTGCAATCCTACAACAACAGCAGGCCCAATCACTGAAAAATGACTACAACATTTAATAATGTCCATTTACTAACCAATAGTTAAAGAGAAGGCTAAAGTGTTAGGCTGAATTGTTTTTGTAATTTTTTTTTGTATTGACTTCCCCATTTGAAGGTTTGTAAATATGCATTTAAAAATATAAATGATATAATTAGCTAAATTTATACTAGGGCTGAGAAGAGTTTTAATATAATTAATTACACAATGCATCAATTAATTGATGCAATGAATCACAAATTACTGATACATCAATTTGGGCTGAGACATTACCCCCCCCAAAAGATAATTTAAAGTCACTGTGTTAATATTGAGAAAATGATTGAACTGACATTACTAAAAGTTGTAATTTTTTTTTGTATTGACTTCCCCATTTGAAGGTTTGTAAATATGCATTTAAAAATATAAATGATATAATTAGCTAAATTTATACTAGGGCTGAGAAGAGTTTTAATATAATTAATTACACAATGCATCAATTAATTGATGCAATGAATCACAAATTACTGATACATCAATTTGGGCTGAGACATTACCCCCCCAAAAGATAATTTAAAGTCACTGTGTTAATATTGAGAAAATGATTGAACTGACATTACTAAAAAGAAAGAAATATGTTGATTTAACATTGAATTTATTGTACATAAATCTATAAGGCTACAATGAGAACAAAACATGTTTTCAGAAGCTGCACTTGGGTGTATTTGTTCAGACTGTTCAGAGGTGGCATGAATGCATTTACACTGCAATAAGCATGGCAAAAATAATGCTATGAGGTTAATGAGTTTTACAAATTTTGAAATGTATTGGTTTTGTGTGGACCTACGCAAACCCCATAGCATGATCCAGGATAAATAACAATAATAACCTTTTTTTAATTTGATTAAATTACAAAAATTAAATATACCAATAAAGAAATATTACTGTAGTAGCAATATTATTGTTGTGGAAATAATAATAATAATTTTATTCTACAAAAGGTGACAAGTTTGCATCCCTGTATAAGATCAACGATTTAAGTGTTTGGTAATCGTCAAATCCAACCACTGTCAAAAGGTTATTTAATAAAAAAAAACACGACAATTAACAAACAAACATTAATTATTATTATTAAACACACAGAAATAGTACTACAGTTACTAAAGTAGTATATTTAATTGGCTTGTTCAATTTTTGTAATTTCATAAGAAAAATAACATTTTAATAAGAAGAGCAGTAAAAATACTAATAATATACTGTGTAAGCGAATAAAAAAAACGCTTTAAGATACAATGGCCGATAACAGGCCAAGAATAAATGTTGCAAAACTCCTCTGAAAATGACCAGTTACTAGGGGTGGGAATCTTTTGGAATCCCACAACTTGATTCGAATTGATTCTCGGGTCAAAAATCGATTCTCGATTTTGAATCAAATTTCTATTCAATACAATATTAGATTGAGTTCTAAACAGTGAATTTTATTTAAATCAAATGAAAATGAAAATGTAAAGGCATGTGTCTTCTGCACTATTAAAATCTGATCAGTTTATGTGAGCATCAAACTGAGAGACGTATTGAATCAAAGGAATGTTCATTCATCAGCATGTTTTACAAGCACTTTATTGTTCGATTTCTGAAAGTGCTTCTCATGTGTAAAAAGTACATGTGCAGATAGGAGACGTGCACAAGTAAATATACATTATTTAAGGCTATTTTCTGTTCGTTAAAAACTGTTGTTGTAGTAAGCTTAATTCATAATTCATGAATCGATTCGAATCGGTAGAAGACAGAATCGTGATTCATAATTGAATGACTTTTCCCCCACCTACACCAGCTACTGTATATGGTTACATTTACTATATGTGAAATTGAGATTTATACATCATCTGAAAGCTGAATAAATAAGCTTTCCATTGATGTATGGTTTGTTAGGATATGACCATATCTGGCCGAGATACAACTATTTGAAAATCTGGAATCTGAGGGTGCAAAAAAATCTAAATATTGAGAAAATCGCCTTTAAAGTTGTTCAAATGAAGACCTTAGCAAAGCATATTACTAATCAAAAATTAAGTTTTGATATATTTACGGTAGGAAATTTACAAAATATCCTCATGAAACATGATCTTTACTTAATATCCTAATGATTTTTGGCATAAAAGAAAAATCAATAATTCTGACCCATACAATGTATTTTTGGCTATTGCTACAAATATACCCCAGCGACTTAAGACTGCTTTTGTGCTCCAGGGTCACATATGTCCCTAAAAAAATGACCTAAATTTTAATAAATTAACTGATGAATAAGAAATAATAATGAAAAGTGCCTAAAAGATACAAATTTGAATGTTTTTTTTTTTTAGCCGAAGCACTTATTTTTTTGTACGTGTCAAAACAGTTTAAGCCTACCAAAATCATCAGTTATGGCTGTAGTACCTCACCTGCTCTCTTGATCCTCTTGCGCTCTTTCAGCTGGTAAGGCTTGTGATCATGTGACAAGGCCACAGCGTTGCCGTCCTTGTCGCAGAGAACGCCGCGAGAGTCTCCGACATTTGCCACAGTCAGTTCACGGTCTGACAACAGGGCTACCAAACACGTCGTGCCTGAAGACAAAACAAGGGTTCAGCATTGTTTACTGTTTCCAGTCAGCTAAATCAACCTAAAACACACTCTCGTCCCTGCTCACCTGCTTCATCATGGCTGGCAGAGAACTTCTCCACCATGTCCCGGTCCACAGCCAGAATGCGCTGCTCTAGGATGGCGGGATAGGAGAGAGGACTGTCTTTCTTTTCTCGCTCATAGGCCTGCAGCTGCTGTTTCAGAGACTCGGGCAGGTGGGCCTTCACATAATCAGCGGCTGCCTGAGAGAGACCGCAAAAACAATGAGGAACTCACCATTCCTGTCACACTTCAGCATTTAGAATTCATATTCATGAAGTTCTTTCGGAATTCTACTGCTAACTGAAAAACTTAAAGGTGTTAATAATGTGGAAAACCTTTTTGACAAGGAAAGAAAGAAATGCAGATGAGTGATGTGGGCTGCTCTCGTGAAAACATGTCAAAAGAAATAATATTTTATTTAAAGATTTCATGACAATTAAGCACCTATGGGCATTACCATAATTAGGGCTGCTTGATCATGGCAAAAAACATAAATCATGATTATTTTGGTCACTATTGAAATCGCAATTTAGTGTCATGCATTAAAAAAACTTGTCTTTTTATCATTGGATTTCCTTTAAATTATAATTCAACTGAAAGCAATAAATAAATAAATACATATATACATGTAAAAAAAATTATTTTACATACACAGAAAACATTTTAAATACAAATAGTGTCTACCTTATATTGATGAAATATTGCTCCATCATTATTTAGCGTAACAGATATATTTATGTAAAAAATTATACAACATACTTATTAAATTATATAAAGGAATAAGTGATTTTTTTTTTTTTACATGATTTAAAACTTCTTCCTGACAAATGGCTAAAACCGAGTGGTTTGAAGGATAGTGTCAAAGACTGGTAAATATTTAAAATCACAATTAATTTTCATGTTTTTAAAATTTCCATTTGTTCTTAACGGTGATTCTCAGTAACGCATTACTGCACTAGAGTGATTTTTATATTTAAGACAGCATAAATTAAAGGCAGTACAACAAATAACAGTATATACATTTTACGTATATTTCTCTCTCATTACAGTAATGATAATAGGATTTCTGCATTCTGAAAATGAGAATTAGAGGAAAATCTGCAAAACTCATGAAAGTTATATCACTTCATTTTCTTAAGGCAAAATCTCATTCCTTTTTTTGATTTGGGGTGAAATATGACACAGGAATGTTATTAATGATATTCACCCACATAGTAAAATCCTAATTTCATAAAAAAAAAAAAAAATCGTTTTTTAAATCAGTTAGTTGACCTGAAAATAAAATCTGTCATCATTTATTCACCCTCATGTTGTTCCAAACCTGTTTTTCTTTTTTCTGCAGAACATATAAAGAGGTTATGACAGTTATCATTTCATATCATATCTAAACAGTTTATCTTATTTTGTGTTCAGCAGAAGAAAGCAAGTCACACAGGTATGGAGTAAATGATGACAGAACGTTCATTTTTGGGTGAACTGTCCCTTTAAAGGAGGCCTAAGAGCTCTAGCCAGATGGAGTTTGCAGCAGAATACAGATGAAGGGACAGAAAGTCTCTAGAGAGCGAGAGCCCTTTCCAAACACTGCCAGATCACCAAAACATACCGAGTCAAAGAGCGTCATTTCATTCCCAACTCTGTTTCCCCATCATCCATCAGGATGCTTTGGATTCTATTCAGCAGCTCACACTACAGCCTTGTGCGTTTTCAACTTTAAGCCTTTGCCAGTGACTCAGCAATGCCACGCTATAAATACAATGATGAAACCAGAGAAGCAAACATAATACCTGTCTGCCAAGAGAACGCTGCAGTCTCTTTCAAAGCCACTTCCCGGGCAACAGTGAGTCTCTGCTTTTCAGAAAAGACACGGTGGAGCCTCCTGATGAAGCCGATGCATTATTTACGCAGAAGCATCGCTCATGCAGAACACTTACAGAATAAGCAGATATAGCTCAGGGTCACTTTGCACACGGCAGTGATTTTAAAACCATAAATAGCACACACACACACACACACACAGTCGAGCCTTTCAAAGCTCAGAGATAGGGGATTGCTGAATTCTGTGTCCCCTAAATGTGAGTCCAGACTATAAGAATAAACTCTAAAACTCTGTCCGTTTAACTTGAATGTAGTTAGTTACCATTTGAAAAGGGTAAAGCAGCTTTCCCAACACTGCTAATATGAGCCAATAACAATCACAGTCATCAATTGTGACGCCTGACAATAGCACAATTCTCTGCAGGTGTTACAATCTGAATTATTTAAAGTATGTTGATCATTGTGTCTCAGGAACAAAGACAGTGGGGCGGTGGTGACCCGCAGTGACCTCTATCCACTCAAGACCCTCCCACCGCAAACACACTACAGTCAGGCGTCTATTTTACTTCATTCACACACCAGCACAATGAGGGCTTTATTACTGCTGTTAAGCACCTGTGTTCAAACATATCGCTGTATTCCTGTGAATGTGTGTTCCTATCAGTTCATTCCTGTGATTTAAGACCATTAAGATTTTTTTTTGCATTGTGGCATAATTTTAATGACTATTCAGCACATTTTGACCCCTAATTCTCATTACCACAACGTAAAAAAGAAATAGTAAAAAAAATAGGTATTGCCGTGTCTGTTGCATTACATTTACTTATCAGAAGGTTGATGCAAAAAAACAAACAAAAAAAAAACGTACAAAAAATACATGATCAAAATATATTACTGTTCATAAATTTAGGGTCAGTATGATATAAAATTTATAATGTTATAAAAACATTTTATTGCACATAAATATAACTGTTTTCAACATTAATAATAGGTCATGTTTCTTGATCAGTAAATCAGCATATCAATGATTTCTAAAGGTTCATGTGACACTGAAGACTGGAGTAATGATGCTGCAAATTCAGCTTTGCATCACAGGAATAAATGACACCTTAAAATATATTAAAATAGAAAACCGTTATTTTAAATAGTAATATTATTTCACAATATATTACTGTTTTTACTGTATTTCTAAAAGTAAATGCAGCCTTGGTGAGCATAAGAGACTTCTTTCACACACACACACACACACACACACACACACACACAATGTGACCTGATAATGTTTTGGTGGGATTCACCAATTCAGAGCATTTAGAATCAGATTTAAATAAGAAAGAAGACTACACAGTAATTCATACATAAGGTCACAACACTCACACTTTTGAACCAGCATCGCTAATTAAAAGCTCAATTTACCAGGCCTAATTCAAGATTACAATAACGAGAAAACCAGACCACCGGGGAATAGAGGAAGAGCAACGGATGCGTAAGACAAGCGTTGATTAGGCCAACTGTGCTAGTCATTGTTAGCGGGAGCTCTCTTCATTAGCAGACACCACAGGGCAAAAGATGATGAAACAACACGGTATTTTTAACAGACCCCCTGGATCAAACTCCAGACCTAGTTTTTACTTTTGACATATTAAATCTGAACTTACATTTGCATTACATATTGATTACACACGCAAATCTAAACCACAATATGATTGATTTTTGGCTATTTGACCATTAGCTATTGTCATCAATCAATTCTATCTACTGCTGAGGTGTTTCAATCAGACGACTGTCGCCCAAGAAAACAAGTACAGCACTTCACAGCTGTAATACATGAACAATGATAAAAAATGACTAATTGCAAGCAGCCTAAAAAGTCAATAAAAATAGTCTGAGACTTGTGACTGGGTGGGGTGTTCATCCTGTTGTTTGGTATCAGATTTATGCGCTGAGAACTGTGGGAGGCTGGAAAAGACTGCCTCTATCATTTCTGGTAAAAAATAAATGTATAATTAAACCTAACAGTGTTGCTATTCTGCGTGCTGTGGTGAAGATAGAAATGCATTTCATAAAAAATACAGTAAAAACAGTAACAGTGAAATATTATTACAATTTTAAATAGGCCTAACTGTTTTCTTTGTTCTGAATATATTTTAAGACGTATTTTATGGCAAAGCTGAATTTCCAGCATCATTACTCCAGTCTTCAGTGTCACATGATCCTTCAGAAATCAATCATATGCTAAATTGCTCAAGAAACATTTTGAATTATTATTACTGTCGAAAAGTTTGATTGACTGCTTGATATTTTTTAATACAATTCATTATTATT